AGGGATAACAGGGAAGGCACTACAATGGATCAGCGAAAAACTTGTCAGGAAGACAGCAGCGAGTCATGGTACGTGGCGAGGTGTCAGAGTGGGCAAACCCGTGACCAGCAGGGTCCCACAGGGTCAGTCCTAGGACCAGTGCTGTTTCTGTATTTGTGAACGACATGACGGAAGGGAAAAGACTCGGAGGTGTCCCTGTTTTGCAGATGATGGAAGTTGATGAGAAGAATTCACTCGATCGAAGACCAGGCAGAACTACAAAGGGATCTGGACAGGCGCAGACATGGTCCATCAATTGGCTCCTGGATTCAATCCCACCAAGTGCAAAGTGATGAAGATTGGGAAGGGGAAAAAGACTGCAGATGGAGTACAGCTAGGGGGGGCCCGAGACTACAAACCTCACTCAAGGAAAAAGAAACTTGGGGGGAGTATAACACCAGCACATCTCCTGAAGCGCACATCCCAAACCCAAATAACGGCTTTCAGCACATGGGCGCCTAGCAAACCTCAGAACAGCATTCCAACATCTTAATAAGGGAATCGTTCAGGACCCTGTAAAAACAGTGTACGTTAGGCCATATTGGAGTATGCGGCACCAGTTTGGAACCCACACCTAGCCAAGCACGTAAAGAAACTAGAAAAGTTGCAAAGGGTTTTCAACAAGACTAGTCCCAGAGCTAAGAGGTATGTCCTACGAGGAGAGGTTTTAAGGGAAATCAACCTGACGACACTGAAGGACAGGAGAGATAGGGGACATGATAACGACATACAAAATACTGAGAGGAATTGACAAGGTGGACAAAGACAGGATGTTCCAGAGATGGGACACAGCAACAAGGGGACACAGATGGAAGTTGAAGACACGATGAATGACAGGGATGTTAGGAAGTATTTCTTCAGCCACAGAGTGGTCAGCAAGTGGAAGAGTTTGGGGAAACGATGTAGTGGGGGCAGGATCCATACATACCTGGAGTTTACCTGGAGAGAGTTCCGGGGGTCAACGCCCCCGCGCCCGGTCTGAGACCAGGCCTCCTGGTGGATCAGAGCCTGATCAAACCAGGCTGTTTGCTGCTGGCTGCACGCAAACCAACGTACAAGCCACAGCCCGGCTGAACCGGAACTGACTTTAGGTGCTTGTCCATGCCAGCTTGAAGACTGCCAGGGGTCTGTTGGTAATCCCCCTTATGTGTGCTGGAGGCAGTTGAACAGTCTCGGGGCCCCTGACACTTATTGTATGGTCCTTAACGTGCTAGTGACACCCCTGCTTTTCTTGGGGGATGGTCATGCTGCCAAGTCTTTTGCTTTCGTAGTGAGTGATTTTCGTGTGCAAATTCGGTACTAGTCCCTCTAGGATTTTCCAGTGTATATAATCATGTAAACTTTCCCTCCTGCGTTCCAGGAATACAGGTTTAGGAACCTCAAGCGCTCCCAATAATTGAGGTGTTTTATCTCCGTTATGCGCGCCGTGAAAAATTCTCTGTACATTTTCTAGGGCGGCAATTTCACCTGCCCTTTAAAGGTGCTGTTAGTGTGCAGCAATATTCCAGCCTAGATAGAACAAGTGACCCCGAAAAGTGTCATCATGGCTTGGCCTCCCTAGTTTTGAAGGTTCTCATTATCCATCCTGTCATTTTTCTAGCAGATGCAATTGATACAATGTTATGGTCCTTGAAGGTGAGATCCTCCGACATGATCCACCCAGGTCTTTTTACGTTGGTGTTTCGCTCTATTTTGTGGCCAGAATTTGTTTTGTACTCTGATGAAATTTAATTTCCCATGTTTACCATATCTGAGTAATTGAAAATTTCTCATCGTTGAACTTCATATTGTTTTCTGCAGCCCACTGAAAGATTTGGTTGATGTCTGCCTGGAGCTTTGCAGTGTCTGCAATGGAAGACACGTCATGCAGATTCGGTGTCATCTGCAAAGGAAGACACGGTGCTGTGGCTGCATCCTTGTCTATGTCGGATATAAGGATGAGGAACAAGATGGGAGCGAGTACTGTGCCTTGTGGAACAGAGCTTTTCACCGTAGCTGCCTCGGACTTTACTCTGTTGACGACTACTCTCTGTGTTCTGTTAGTGAGGAAATTATAGATCCATCGACCGACTTTTCCTGTTATTCCTTTAGCACGCATTTTGTGCGCTATTACGCCATGGTCACACTTGTCGAAGGCTTTTGCAAAGTCTGTATATATTACATCTGCATTCTTTTGTCTTCTAGTGCATTTAGACCTTGTCGTAGTGATCCAATAGTTGAGACAGACAGGAGCGACCTGTTCTAAACCCATGTTGCCCTGGGTTGTTAACTGATGGGTTTTCTAGATGCGTGGTGATCTTGCTTCTTAGACCCTTTCAAAGATTTTTATGATATGGATGTTAGTGCTATTGGTCTGTAGTTTTTTGCTGTTGCTTTACTGCCCCTTTGTGGAGTGGGGCATGTCGTTGTTTTTAGTAACTGTGGGACGACCCCCGTGTCCATGCTCCCTCTCCATAGGATGGAAAAGGCTCGTGATAGCCTCTAGCAGTTCTTGATGAACACAGAGTTCCATGAGTCTGGCCCTGGGGCAGAGTGCATGGGCATGTCATTTATCGCCAGTTCGAAGTCATTTGGCGTCAGGTAACATCGGGTAGGCTTGTGTTAATCAAATTTTGTGGCTCTCTCATAAAAAATTCATTTTGATCTTCGACTCTCAGTCTGGTTAGCGGCTTGCTAAAAACTGAGTCATATTGGGACTTGAGTAGCTCACTCATTTCCTTGCTGTCATCTGTGTAGGACCCATCTTGTTTTTAAATAGGGGCCCAATACGGACGTTGTTCTCGTTTTTGATTTGGCATAGGAGAAGAAATACTTTGGGTTTCTTTCGATTTTATTTATGGTTTTTAGTTCTTCCCCCGATTCCTGACTCCTAAAGGATTCTTTTAGCTTAAGTTCGATGCTTGCTATTTCTCTGACCAGTGTCCCCTACGCATTTCAATATATTGACCTCTTTTAGGGCCCCTCTGTTATTCTTTTCCGTCGCCTGTAAAGGGAGCGCCTGTCTCTTTCTGTTTTCATCTACTCCTCCTTTTTCTTAGAGGGAAAAAGCCTTGTGCATACATCGAGTGCCACCCAGTTAATCTGTTTTTAGGCATAAGTTGGGGTCTGTGTTGCTTAGTATACTTCCCAGCTTATATCGGTTAGGACTTGGTTTACTTGGGCCCACTTTATGTTTTTGTTATTGAAGTTGAAATTTGGGGAATGCTCCCCGTGACTAATCTCATTATGGCGGTCTGGGGGTCCGCGCATACATGACTGAACCTCAATTATGTTGTGACTGAGTATATTGTTTTTGATATGGTGATATTTCTTATCAGATCATCATTGTTATGAAGATGAGGTCTAGTTGTATTCTCCAGTCTAGTAGGCTCTATTATTTGCTGGTTTAAATTGAATTTTGTGCAGAGATTTAAAAGCTCGCGTGAGTGTGAGTTTTCATCAGAGCTGCCTCCTGGTGTTATTACTGCAACAATATTTTTTGCTATATTCCTCCATTTTAGGTGCCTTAAGTTGAAATCCCCCCGGAGCAAGATGTTGGGTGCAGGAGCTGGAAGGTTTTCCAGACAGTGGGCAATTTTTAACAGCTGTTCCTGGAAAATTTCTGGGATGTTGCATCCGGGGGCTTGTAGACTATCACAATGACTGGGTTTTGGGGGCCGACCTTTACTGCAAAACTTCCACTACATCATTTGAGGCATTTAGCATTCTGGCAAACAAGTGACTCTGCAATGTACAGGCCAACCCCCCCCTTTTGCCTGTTCACTCTGTCACATCTGTATAGGTTGTACCTGGGATCCATATTTCGTTGTCCAAGTGATCCTTTATGTGGGTCTCAGTGAAAGCCGCGAACATTGCCTTTGCCTCTGCAAGCAGTCCACGGATGAAAGGTATTTTTTTGTTTGTTGCTGGCTTAGACCCTGTATAATTTGCAAAAAAAGAATGTTATCGACTGGTGGGGATTGTTGGTACTGGGGGGGGATTTTTTTTTCCGGCAGAGGCATGATAAAGCTCACGGTTCAGGGGGGGGTGACTATAGGATCGTGAAGAGGCGGGGCCGGGAAAGTGGGAATCGACCCGCAACCCAATAGGGGGGGGAAGTACAACTAGGTGGACACCCCCACACACACACAACATGATTTTGCAGTTTAGCAGAAAGTTAGTTTAATTTTGTTTATTATGCCCCCCCATCCCCCATCCTGGGGGCGGTATTTAAAAAAGATTACAAAAAGTCAGTTCCTAAATCACCCGGGCTGTGGCTCGTACTTTGGGTTTTTTGCGTGCAGCCAGCAGCAAAACCCCTGGTTGATCAGGCGCTGATCCACCAGGAGGCCTGGTCACAGACCGGGCCCGGGGGGCGTTGACCCCGAAACTCTCTCCAGGTAAACTCCAGGTACTAATTGGGGGGGGGACTGGGGCTCCCAAAATTTTGGGTAGCCCGAGCAAGTTACAGAGGTAATGGGAAATCACAATTTACAAAAGGGAATGAACTCACAATTTACAAAGGTAATGAACTCACAATTTACAAAGGTAATGAACTCCAGGTAAGTCTGGTCACAATCATGACAAGTTACAGTTTAGCAGAAAGAAACAGTTGTTTTTGTTTTATTTTCTCCATATGTGTTCGTTTGTGCCAGAATTTATTGTATTTTGTGTTTGTATTACATGTAGATGTTACTAGTGATATTCACTGGCTATGACTAAATAACACGTACACCATAAGGATGCAGATAAAACAATCTAGGAAGCACAACATGGTAGGTTAAGTCATCATACTACGGCACTTATCAGCATGGATGTTGACTAAATGTAGTATGTAACATGATACAAATATAAATACAAATGACTTAAACGTATTGTAACACTTTTTCATGCTGCGAACTCAAATGAACAGTGTATCAGTTAATAAACCAAAATAAATAGTCAGTTAATTTAGTAAGAACAAAAGACAAATGATTTAATAAGTAAGAGTATGTAGCAAGTGTGGGAGGTTGCCAGGCTGGCCAGGGTTGCCTGAGTCAGCTCAGTCTTGGCTACACACTAACATAGTGTCATTTAACTTCTCTTCTCCACTCGCCTACCTCAAATGTTTTCCAAGCCAATCCGTCAGCTGTTTTATGTGAGTGAAACATGAATGTGGATATGAGTAAAGTTAAGGAGTTATGATAGTGAATGATACAAGGGATATAAGTGCGGGTAAATGCTTGCAGGTGAGTGCATGACAGGTTCACTTGCTCTACTTTTCTTATGTTTTTGTTAGATACCAGGAATAACTTTCTCCGAAGCTGTCAGTACTCTCTCTTCAAGGGAGATTCCTTGACGGGTTCTTGATCCAAGGAACTGGATTTGTGTTCGCTTTAATAATAAATAATAATAACAGTTCTACCAGTACAAGGTACACAGGCCCAGCTGACATCAGTGACATACTACTGTACAGAAAGCCGCTTGTTAGGCAAAGCATTTTGGGCAAATTAAACCCCCAATTTTGCCCCCGGATGCGACCCCCCCAGTCGCTAACCCCCGGTACCTTTATATGTACGTGAACGGGGGAAAAACGGGTTTTTTTTTAAAAAGAAAGTTTATTCAGGTATACACTAATACGTTCATAGATTATCTGTATAGTAGCATATGGTAGGATTAGATTTTTTAGATTTTGCCACCAAAGGGGGGCTAGTTTATTGGCCCCCCTATCCACCCTGGGGACGGTAGCGCGAGAGATATGGATCACAAAAGGCCCTGGAAAATTTCCCCCAAAGGTTAAACGGAAATCATATGGATTTTATCTACATATCTAAGTTATTTATCTTTACAAGAAATTTAGGAAATTTGCTTGTATATCTGGATTTTTTTTCTTTAAATAAGATTTTGACATGTCCATAGGTTATTTTACTGTCTGTTCTGTTTTTCCTCAATAAGTGGACAATTGCACATAGTTTTTAAAGAGAGTGACCTATGCCTGATCAATAATTTAAAATTTAGTTTGATCTCATTGGTGTTTTCCCAAATGCCAGAAGTTTTTGAAAACCAAGCCTAAGCCTGGCCACTACAACATCGTCAGTTGTTCACATTGAAAAGTTGCTCCATAAAATATTATTCGTTCATGTTATCTAGTGGGTTATAGATCTACTCGGGCTTCTAACTGATTCCTATAACAATCATTTTATTATTTATTCTCTCCTTTTTTTTCCTATGCTAGACACAGTTATACCAAAGTTAATTTTTCTACATTCTCCTTCTGGAATCTTCTTGGTAACTATCAACTTTATCTGAAGGAGTAATCCAATGGTGTGGGACCATAGCAAAATTTTACATTTAATCCCTTTTTTTCCCCCCCTTTTTTTTATCTATACCTGGCTTCCCCCAAAGAGCTGTTGTTGGAGTCATTATATGAGCCAAGAGCCTTCAAAAGATGAAAAGAATCAGTAATGTGATAGGTAAGTCGTGTCTTTTGGGTTGCTTTAGCGCCATTTGGATTGCAAACAATTCGTTTGCAGTTGACGCCCATTTTTTAATTTTATGCCTAACTCAAAAAAATTTTTTATTGTTCTTAACTAGGGAGGGGGCAAAAAGAGCAGATGCAGCCCTGCCAGGCTCTGTTTAGTCCTCGTGTATATAACTTGTGATAAAATTGTTCTACAGCTGGTGGAAATTTCTTCTTGAGCAGTTGCTCTAACAAGAGATTTAAGGAAGGGATTTTTAGAATGGCTTTTGGGGGAACTTGTGGTATGTGATTTAAATGAAAACTCTTCCATGGAGGGTGAAATGTCTTGTTGCCTACAGTGAACCCAAAATAACCCAAAAAAATCAGTGACTTATTTCCAATTGGGTCCCTTTTTTTCCTTTCAATAAAATTTTTCTTAATACAAAAAGTCAAATATGGGCGAAAAAAAAAAATTTAAAAAAATGACATAAAAAAAATTTATAAAAAAATTGAATAAAAGTGTAAAGATAAAATGGGTCACAAGAATTTTTGGGGCTATAAAAAAAATTTAATACTAAATTATAATAAAAGTTCACTCTGAAATTATCAATCTTTTGAAATACAAGAAAATAGACAATAAATAATTTTTTAGAAAAAATAACATCTCGAGGGAATGCATTTATTGCCTAATAACAAAATGTTTAGGGCTCGTCCCTCTTTGGTGGGACAACCAGATAACCCTTGAAAAAATAGAAGTTGTGCCAGAATTTGCTGTTTGCAGGGGCAAACGTATTGAGGGGCATGTATTGCAGGGGTTTTCATATTGCAGGGGGATCATATTGCAGGGGCATGTTTTGAGGGGGGGCCCTCGTTTTGTAGGGGCATCGTTTTGTGGGGCATCGTTTTTTAGGAGCATCGTTGACCTTTTTTCAAAAAAGTCACGAAAAGTGCTGCAGCTTTGGGGGGGTGCTTTAGGGATGTGTCGCTCTGGTGGACGTTAAATTTTTAGATTTTAGGTCCCCTGTAGGGTGAATGGGAGCTGTCAGCTCTGAGGGGGGTTGGGTTTTTCCCCCTTTGGAGCTCTCTGGAGGGAAAAATCCATTGTTGCACGGATGTTGAGAATAGAGGGACTGAGTGCACACTCCCTGTGGCATAGGAATGCAGTTAGAAGCCTGAGTAGATCTATAACCCACTATGATAACATGAACGTAGATAAGTATGTTTATGGAGCAACTTGCTATGTGAACAGACTGACTGATGTTGTAGTGGCCAGACTTAGGCTTGGTTACAAGTACTTCTGGCAGTTTGGGAGAGACACGGATGATGATCAGACTAAATGTAAATTATGTGATCAGGCATATGGTCACTGTCTTGAACACTATGTGCTTAATTGTCCACTTATTGAGGAATACAGATAGACAATATAATAACCTATGTGACATGTCAAGATATCTTATTAATGAAAATAAGATACCAAATATACTAAGCAAATTTCCTAAATTTGTTTGTAGCAGGTAAGTGAATTATAGATATGTAGATATAAATCCATATGTAGTCCTGTTAACCCTTTGGGGCCTAGTTCCTAGGCCTTTTGTGTATCCATATGCTCTCGCGCTACCGTCCACAGGATGGATATGGGGTGCACAATAAACTAGGCACTTCGGTGGCAAAATCTAAAATCTAATCCTTTGGCACACCTGACAGTTGCCTTGTGGTTCGAATTCCAGGGTATTGGCTCTGTTGTGGAAGTTCCTGGGAGCCCGAGTTATCTTGTAACATTGCTGACATCATGGGCATGGGAGGGCGCCATTGGGGTCTTAAGGAAACTAGTTCTAATGTTTCCATTGACCCCAATGGAAATGTATCACTTTGACTTTTACGGGTTATCTTGGTTCACTGTACATATGCTGCTATGTATGGTAATCTATGTAACTATTGGTGTATACTTGAATAAACTTACTCCTATCGGGGATTGAACCACAGACTTTATTGTGTGAGCTGGGTCACTAGGAGTCTAGCTAGTAAGTTTATTCAGGTATACACACAGTTACATAGATTATCATACGTAGCAGCATATGTGTAGAGAACCTGGGATAACCCAAACAAGTCAGTGACTTATTTCCATTGGGGTCCTTGGCTTATTTCCATTGGGGAATGAATTATATTAAACTTGAACACATCTTATTGCTCCAGTCTCTGCATGACCCCATGAATGTTATAATAATAATGTCATTACTCGTTGCTTCTTTATCGTTATTGTAACTCCTGAGTTATCACAGCATTAGTGGCCTTCACAACCACACTCATGACCCTTATACAACCACAATGGAAACAAGTCGCATTAGCTATTAAGTTATTCTAATTTGTAATTAACGTAATTTAGTGTGCATATTAACTCGCTGTAAAAGATTTAGATTATTCGAACTAAACATATTGATAAATGGTTCACCCATTTCAAGACAGTCTACCTGGAGGGTATTCCGGGGATCAACGCCCCCACGGCCGTTCCACGACCAGCCTCCCAGTGGATCAGGGCTTTGTCAGTCAGGCTATTACGGTTTTGGACTGACACGGTCGGTAATGTATGAACCACGAGCCTTGGCTATCGCATCGACTAAGTAGTGTGTCCAGCTTTTGAGGCCAGCCAGGGCTATTGGGTAATTCCCATATACAGGTGGGAGCTGTTGACCACAGTCTTAGGCCCCAGGACAACTTATGGTGTTTTCTTTAGTGCACCATAATGGCGCCCATACTTTCATTGGGGCATTTGCAACGCTGCCAGTCTTGGCTTTCGTGGAGTAGCTGACATTTATGTGTGCAACGGTTCGAATGGAAAAACGGCTCATCAAAACTGGGATCTTGAATGTGCGGGGTATTGGGTAATTTCCATATACATTGATTGCTTGGGATGTTAGTAAATGAATTTAGGTGGGCATGCGCCTGCCGCTGCTTTCTAGGAGATGCGAAATGACAAAGCGACAGAAATGTTGGATGTTGTAAGAAGGATGTTTACGAGTGGTGGGGACGAAATAAATGGGATTAAATCTGGAGTATCTGAGAGAGAGCAAAGGAAGGGGTAGCAGTAATGTTGAAGGATCAGTTATGGAAGGAGAAAAGAGAATATGAATGTGTAAATTCAAGAATTGTGTGGATTAAAGTAAAGGTTGGATGCGAAAAGTGGGTCATAATAAGCGTGTATGCACCTGGAGAAGAGAGGAATGTAGAGGAGAGAGAGAGATTTTGGGAGATGTTAAGTGAATGTATAGAAGCCTTTGAACCAAGTGGGAGAGTAATTGTGGTAGGGGACCTGAATGCTAAAGTAGGAGAAACTTTTAGAGAGGGTGTGGTAGGTAAGTTTGGGGTGCCAGGTGTAAATGGGAGCCCTTTGATTGAACTTTGTATAGAAAGGGGTTTAGTTATAGGTAATACATATTTTAAGAAAAAGAGGATAAATAAGTATACAAGATATGATGTAGGGCGAAATGACAGTAGTTTGTTGGATTATGTATTGGTAGATAAAAGACTGTTGAGTAGACTTCAGGATGTACATGTTTATAGAGGGGCCACAGATATATCAGATCACTTTCTAGTTGTAGCTACACTGAGAGTAAAAGGTAGATGGGATACAAGGAGAATAGAAGCATCAGGGAAGAGCGAGGTGAAGGTTTATAAACTAAAAGAGGAGGCAGTTAGGGTAA